ACACACACACACACACACACACACACACACATGAGCACATACACAAAGTGCAAATGTCCGTAATCACAGAACTAGAGGGTAGAGTGCTTTCGTGGTGTGTCCTCTGATGGTGACATTGATGTTTGTTTCCATACTGTGACAGCTGAGTACAAATGAAAACATTGCCACTGCAGGGACTGGAGTCCTCGAGGAAGAGCAGATGACAGTCCCCCAGGTGCTTTTCCTACCTTCCCTAGAGAAGCCATGCGTGCTGGTCTAATGTGGCCATTCAAACAGGAATGGATCCTTCTTCATTACCTATGCTGGGTGCTGAGTGCTGGCCTAGAGACACCTGTGCAGCTTCATCTTAAGGCCTCTCTCCCTGGTGAGATGAGGGGTGTCTCTCCCTGTGGTCTTGAGGGACCAGTCCCACTGCTATAAGATGTCTGACCCCTGATCTTTCTAGTTCTTAGGATGAGCTGTCCTCAGGCAGGAACATTTCAATGACCTCACTATGTTTCATTCTCCCCATTTAAAGCCTCAATGAAGAAGTGCCCCACACTGACTGAATCACTCACACGATGAATTTCAGGTAGCGTCCATCCCAGAAAACATCCCAAACTTACCCAGACACTTGGGCCTGCTCCGAATCCCAGCCCTCCTTGGTGGACTCTGTGTTGCTCCCAGTCAAAGAACACTGATGTTTCTGCAGCAGATTTACCTGTGACATCACAGAGGCCTCACCTCACTTCATTCTGAGAATCCCAAAGGGCATCCTGGCCTCAGTTACCTCCCAGCTTTGCCCATCCTTAGTCTCTCCCAAACTGTGTCAAGCATCCTTGGAAACACATAGATTGGGAAAGTAGCTGGAAGTGTTTCACAGAGACCCCTCCATGGGAATCACATACATCTTGTGGGAGCCCTCCATCTCTTCTGAGGTCACTGCATCCTTGAGAGGAGGCACACAGTTGACAGTGCTGCTTCCTCATCTCAAACGTCTGAACTCACCCTCTGTCTCAGCATCTCAGATTCTCCATAGGCATCATGGTTTATTGCTGGCATTCACCTGCGGGGTGCCATCTTCTTCCCCTTGCATCTGGCTCCAAATGTAACCATACCTCGTCTCCTATTTTCTCTCTGCACCACTAGTTTTTTAGCTTGTGGTGGGTGGTGGGTTATTAGCTGAGTGTTCGGCTGCAAGGCCAGTGACCCTTAGTTTTAGAGGGAACAGTATGAAAATATATAGATCAATAGTGAATAAATACACAGCATTCATGAGCCGCAGTAGAATGAATTGCAGACAGAGCCCAGAATGAGGTGTGAGAATCCTGGGAGCACATGCTTTCACTTGTCCTATCCTCAGTGGACCTTCCACCTGAATAACTGTGTTTGTGAATAATTATTCTGTCTAGATATGTCTCACGCCACTGTCCACACGCACTTGCACTTTATGCAGTGTTGGGAGCCCGTTCTGTTAGCCTGCTCTTTCCTGGGACTCTGTCAAGTCCATGCTTTCCCTGTGCAGGAGCTGCAGCCTCAACCACCAGGTTTCCAGTGTTTCTCATGACGGGGTGGTGGTGGGTGTAAAACATGACTGACACCCAACACTGGGGATTGCTGGGCACACACGGCCATGGGGCCACTGTGCATTCTCTGTAGTTATTCAGAATGTGGAAAGTTCAGTGGATAAGTGTGAGAAGCTTTAAACCTTGTCTGAATCAGCCTGGCTCTCCCTCTGGAGACCAAGTGTCTGGCATGAGGATGTTTTCGGGGAGTTGCACTGTGTTTTTGCATTCAGATAGACTCCCAGGTTACATGACTCATGAGCATGTGGACCCTGTGGGTGTCATTTGGAGACTGTGGGAAGTCAGAGTGCCTGATGGAAGGACAGGCTTTTCCAGCAGGGGAAGGAGTCGCCATTGTTGTGTCCCAAGTCTGGCCATGTGCTGTCTCCTGCACAGGCTCATTGTGGCTGTAGCTGGCCATCTGACATGGAACACAGGTTACATACCCATATATTTGGGCACAGAGAGACCTGTATCATTCATTATTGTGATAAGTTGTTCCCTCTCCTCAAAGTATCACCCTCTTGTGAGGGATGCAAGGTTAAATTCTGGCCAAACCTGGTTAAAATCCTGGAATGAGAACTTAAAGTGGAGTAATTGTCAAGTCACCTGTACCAACATCAAAGGGCACACTGGTGTGTTAATTCTATGTTGAAATTCACACTTATGTGTGGTTTCACATAATGACCCCCATAAATTTACTTCTCAGTAGATGAAATTTGGGTCAGTTTTCAGCCAGCCTAGTCTCTCCCAGGATCTGCAGTTTCAAGTCCCTGACAGTAGAATTAGGGGGAGCCCAGCTGCCCAGTGTTTCCTGGTGGGAATTCAGATCTTCTACTGCCCTATTCCATCTCAGAAAGGACCCAGATTTCATACTGCACATCTGCATTAAAACTGTCATGAAGCAGCCTGTTCATCATAATGATGAACAGAATGAGTGACATCACTAGATAGCACAATGTAAGCCACAAGTTGCTGCTACTCATGCATAGGCCATGGTCAGTGTTCGCTGTAAAGGAGCATACGTCTGATTTGTAACTGGAGGTGGAGACGGCTGAGGAGTTCCCACTGTGGCTGTCCCACATCCTTCCTGTTCACCAGCTGACAGGCACTTGGTGGTTCCCAGTTCTTGGCTATTGTGAATGGCACTGCTGTGAGCCTGTGAGCAAACCTCTGACACACTGGCTGTGTCGCCTGGATCTCTACCCAGGAGTGTGATTGCTGGATCTCAGGTGGCCGAGTCACTGTTTCATGACTTTTTTATTTTATTTTTCCATAATATCAGGATATTTATGTGCATAATTTTTGTTACTATTTACCAGTGAAAATTCATTCAACTTTTAAAAAGTACTGTAAACCTGTCCATGAGCCCAACCACATGGTTGAGGGGCTCACTGGGTGTGAAAAATATCTCCATATTCCTGTTTACTCCCATAGATTAGTTCAGCTCTCCGACCTCGTCAGTTTCTTTGTGCCGTGTAGGGTGGTTAACAGAGAAACTCACAATTGTTCAAAAAGCAGAGAGTAAAGCCAATGGAGTGCTCAGTCACTAATGGGACATCTGTATCACCCTCTTCCCCTTGATCAGGGAACACCATGAAAGAAGAGCAGAGAGGACCAGAGTGAGACAGTGTGTTCTGCACAAGAGCAGACCGCTGCACTGACAAACTCCCAGCATCTGTGGCTGCCTCTATAAGACCTGAACAAGATCAAGCCCGTCACATTCCAGCACAGAGGGTCGAGGGGCTCATGTGCCCTCATCGCCAGCTGAGGAGCTGTGGGGAGTTGATGGTTTCTGCTGAAGGGGTCAGTTGTCTCTAAGGAGGAGGGCTGGAGAAGTTGATGGTTTCTGCTGAAGGGGTGGTCAGTTGTCTCTAAGGAGGAGGGCTGGAGAAGTTGATGGTTTCTCCTGAAGGGGTCTCTAAGGGTGTGGATCCTGTTGTTTCCTGTGCTCCAGTGGGTGGACACATGCCTGCACTATATGTACAGCTCCAATCCGTCAGTTTTATTTTATTTTGGCAGGAACAAAGCTGGCAGGTAGGTAGCTGATGGTTGATCTGGAAGGAGTTAGAGGAAGGAGTCTGGGGTAAATATGATCAGAATACATTGTATGAAATTCTCAAGGAAGTCATAAAATGTTTTTAAAAACTCAACTAAACTGAGAGATGAAGAGGAGACGTGCTCAGATTCCTTACTGCCAACAAGTGTAACCAAGTCACCTGTGGTTGTTCCCGCATCCACAGGCTTTAGGTGTGAACTGCAGCCTCATAATCCAGAGGCTGAGAGAAGCCTCTAGGACATGTTTGGTCGTCAGGTGGTGGACCACAGCTGGTCCATCTGGGGCCCCAGTGCAGGGAGTCTGCTGCCTCAGCTCCCTTCCCACCCCAGCTGCTGTCCTGCTCACTGCAGGCCAGGGGCCAGGACCTGCTCTGAAGGTCATCCAGTTTGTGAGCAGATCAGTGTGGTGATATATTGTGTACCCTGATAAAGCTTACCTGGAATCAGAGAACAGAGCCAGCCACTAAGACATAGAGGTCAGGCAGTGGTGGCACACACCTTTAATCTTTGTCTTGGGAGGCAGAGATCCGTCTGGAGCTCTGTGAGTTCAAGGCCACTCTGGGCTACATGAGAGAAACAGAACCAGGCAGTGGTGACACACGCCTTTAATCCCAGGAAGTAATATGGCAGGACACAGAAAGGTATATAAGGCAGGAGGGTACAGGAACTCCCTCTCTTGAGGCTGAGGATTTCATAGAGGTAAGATAGTGGCTGGCTGTTCTGCTTCTCTGATCTTTCAGCTTTCATCCCAATGTCTGGCTCTGAGTTTTTTATTATAAGACCTTTTAAGATTCTTGTTACATCTGGCTCCCAATGTTTGTGGCACAAATTCACAAAAAACTGCTTGCCTGTGGCCTTGCAGGTCTCAGCTCAGTCCTGAGCTGCATGTGGTCAGAGTCTCCACCCCATGTGGGCCAGAGTCCCTAACTAGCTGGTTCCAGACGGCTGGATCTTTCATTTCTTCTCTCCTGGTGGGTTGTGGGCTCTCCCTGGATCCCCCTCTGGGGC